AAATATATGCACGTATCACATGAGTGTATATTAATGACTGGTTTGCTTACATTCTTTCATGCACCACAAACTGTGGGCTCAATGTCTGAGGTGAAGTGAACATTTACACAAGGATGATCCCAGTATTTGTCTTGGTAACAAGTGAAAAATGGCATCTCAGAAAGGAGGGAAATACTATTAGTTGCAGATATGTGTTGGTTAAAGATATGGCTGGCATGTTATCCATTTAGTCATTCTGGTCCTGTTAAGTAGACCACAATGTAACCAATGATCAAGAAACTTCCAAACTTTGGGGGCCCAAGCCTATCAATCATGTCCTAGTTCACGTAAATACCATCTAGTTTCTACCCAAGGAACAGGAAAAGGAAAACATTAGCACCTTTGAGGACACTGATGTGGATATGGAAGATTACACATCTCAAATAAAGGAACTTGAAAATATTTTGGCACTTTAGTCTGAAGCACAACTTATTCAAATGGATTTCATTTCTTTTCACTTCCTGATCCATAAAAATGAAACTAACCGAAGCAGAAATGAATTGGCTTCATATGAATTGAGTTAACGGCCAATGGGCGGATTTAATTAATTCCCTTCATTTTTTCATAAATTTTGGCACTGAACTTGGTTCGGGTACTCATCCATTTAATGAGAGAAAAGACCCGTCCTTTGTTTTCAGTGGAATACAGGTCTACCCACCGAACTCAAATACAGCAGCACAAGGAAGAGTTGTTAGATTCAGAACTTTTTCACATATTATAACTTCAATATACTGTCAAAAGAAAACATTTATGATGTTTTTTTTTTGAAACAGAAACATCTGCAAATTATTTTATAGAAATCAGCAATTAATTTAATTGCAAAGGCAATTGCCAATAAGTTCTTTTTCTTTCATAAAAGATGCAACATTTTCAGTTTCAACATCAGACCCGTTTCCTCCATCTTCTAGAATATAAAGAAATATATAAATTTATTTATATCTGAAGAAAAAAAGTAAATATCGATTCCACTGATAAGAAAACTGCCAAATGGAAAGCAATCATAACCACCATCTGACAGAGGTTCGAAAGTTATGCAAGATAATTATCTGCATATATAATGCACACAGTAAAAGACAAATGTTATAAACTCAGTCCATCTTTGTAAGTACTATGAATATCACTCATTTCAAAAAAAAATACTATGAATATCACTTAATCAAAAATAACAAAAAGTAAATAAATTTTAACAAGCAGAAAATGCTATGGTCATTCATTTCAGTCAACAGAATGCTCTTATTGTCATATCATTACACTTGTAATTAGACATAATCCAGAAATAACCCAATTAGACTTGCATTAGATTTTTGTCAATTGAAGTTCGATTATTCTGCTACCTATGACTTGTTTGGCTCCATTTCCGATCCATTCTAGCTAATTACTACTTCTACCTATCATAATGGTCTCAATATATGCAATTGCACTATCTTAATGGCTTAGCAACCCTCACTCCACCTTGAATCCTTTATACTTAGGAACTAAATCCTAGCATTACGGAATTCAAAGAGGGAGAGAAGCTACATTGAACTCTAAAAAATGACATTGTAACCATGTATCAAGAACAGTATTGAAATGAAAAAGTAGAAAGTAACTTGGAATCTAACAGGAAAAGAACCAAACAGGATCCAAGGGTTTGGATTTTGAAGTTGCAGTTTTTGCACACTGTTGTATCTCCTCCGTAGTTAAAAATTCAATATAATCATACTCATAAAATCGTGGTTATTGAAATCAGAAAACAACCCAATAATCTCCATTTATACTAATTTTGACATTTTTAACCATCAACTTCCCTTATAATGAATAATTTACTCTTTCCAACCCTTTGACATTTAATTCAAGCACACTACATGAAGGAGTATAATAGTAATTTGATGACCAAGCCCTGATGAAATTTTTACTTCATAACCATCTTACATTGAAATTCACTATTATAACAGTCTCTTGTGCGATGATTTCCGAGTATTACTGTTTCATCTACTATAGCAGCCTCTCGTGTAATTGATTGCCAATTATTACTGCTTCCTCTATTATAACAGCCTCTCTTGTGCGATGATCGCCATGTATTACTGTTTCCTCTATTATAACAGTCTCTCTAGTGCGATGATTGCCAAGTATTACTGTTTCATCTACCAGACTAACAGCTTCTCTAACACCATTATATGATGGAAACCGAAAAAAAAAAAAGAAAATATTGTCCCAAGCCCATAAATTCAATCACTCTTCACAAGAATCATAATCTTACAGAATCGGTAAAATAGGGAACAGTAGATATCATTTATTCAAATAAATTACCTCCCAAACATTCTGAATGAAGTTTACTACACTATGTTCAGAGAAGTTCCTAATCTCATCACCGCATAAAAATCATATTTCAACTCCATTTCATTTCTAAGCAACCGAATATTCCACGCAATTAAACAGACACAAGTGCCTATACATATAAACACACGCGCATGCATAAACATACTAACACGCATATGATTATTTACGCGCACTTACACAAATATATGGAACGGCGAACATATAATCAAAGATACCTTGAACCGCACTGGGAGATTAGCCTCGCGATCATTACAGTAGACGGTCCGATAAGAAGGAGCCTGGGGCTGGACCCGGCCAAGAGTCACCGTGCGAGAAGTCAACCGCAAGGTGGTGCTTGAATCGTGACTCAATCTCGAGGACGATGCCCGAGACATCTTATTTCCCGGATCCAACTAAGAAACAACTAAACCAGATTCACACAAATGGAACTCTCCTCTCCAATCGCTGAAAACTTTTCTTGTGTTCTTCTCTTTCTGTATCTTTCTCTTGTTCGGTTAATTCGCGCACTCGGTTTGCTAATGGAGACTTCCTCGTACGGAGCGATGAAACAGAGGACCAAACCCCTGCTTCCTCTCAACTTTTCTTTTTTGCAGTTATGCCCTCCTCTCTTCTTCTGTCTTCGCTTGGTTACTTCTTAAGCTTCTTCGATTTCCGGTTTTCACCCATAATCACATTAAACGATCAAAACCGCGTTAAAGTGGCGAAGAATTAATTCCTAATCCGCTAATCGGAATGACGAACATCACGCGTGCACGACTGGAAATATTTACATAAGGCGTCTAGGGATTGACTTTTAGATTCTTGTGGTGGACGCGTGGGATGGCGCGTGGTCAGTTGGGAGAGAAAGTTAAAGCGCCACAGAGGACTCGTCGTGATTTAGATGGAAGCAAGCGAACGGCGTCGTTTTCTCATCGCTACTTCTTTGCACTTTCCTCCTTTCCAACAACGTGGGCAATTGCCACAGTAACGTCTTCCGTAGTGACCACTATTGGGAAAGAGTGGGACCCGGAATTATAGGAGGAGACATTGTAATCGCAGATTATTTAGACACTTTCCATAAATTCGGGTGATCGAAATTGACACATTGATTTACCTCAATTTATATGCATTTTTCTTCTTTGAAAATGATACTTTTTTTTTAAAGAAAGAAAAAAGAAAGCCTTTCATTTCATATTAAATTCATAAGAGTCATATCTATAATAAAATGTTATTTGTGTTGAAGATGGAAAATAAATTAACAAGTCACATGAGGAAAGAAATCAAGTTTGTTGAAAAGAAAAAAAGTCCCAAATTTTGAACAAGAAAACATATTATTACAATCCGCATAATTGAAATCTATTCCTAATTAGAAATATGTTGTTTCAAGAATTTTTTTTTTTTTTCTTCAGATTATATTAATGGTAGCAAAGGTATATTTTAGTCTAAAATTTTATCTTTTCAAAATTATTATTTAATTAGTTAGTAAACTCAAAATTTATTACTATCTTTAAATTTTATATTCCCAAAAGCAAGGTTACTCTCCCTGTGTCTATCCCAAGCGCTCAAGCTTAAAACAATCCACCCAAATCCTGATCATCAAAGATGCTTTGAAAATCCGAATTTATCAGGAAACATTTGACAATCATAAAACTATTTTTCCTATATTGGGTTACCAATGTGTGTTTGGTTCTCTTTAATATCCCATAGTTTCTATATCAAGTTACCAATTGTCTGACCTATAAAGGAAAATAAAAGAATACAGCCTACATGCTCATACACGTACATGATCATTCCCGACCTAATTAAGAATTTATACACAGCTTTGACACGCTCATGACTTGACTAAACGAAGTCTTTGATATCATACCACAAAGTTTGTAATCTAAAAATATCAAACAACTAGAAATTTCATATATAAGAACTGATTCATCCCAATTTAACTAAGCTGCAAAAGAGCTCCATACCATAAACTGCACCGCAAAAGCATGGCAAAGCTTTTAGGGCAAAACTAATCACCATACGCTGTACAAAAAGACTTTTTATCTGCATCGTCATCATCAGGTTGGCTGGATTTGTTGAATCTTTTAGACAGAAAAACTGTCAGATACAGGGAATCAAGGAAGATACAGATAACTTCTTAAGTAAATTTAGACAGGATAAGCAAAATTGGAATTCAGGATGAACCAAAAAAAAGGGGAAAGAATCAACTTTCTAGCTCTGTCCGTATCCAATCTTGTGAACACATCAATGCCTGAACAGTAGTGGGACGCATTGAACTCCAATGATGATTGAGAACCCTTCCTCCAGAGGTAAATGCCGATTCTAAAGCAACTTTCGACATGGGAATTCCCAAAATATTCCTTGCCATCATAGATAGTATAGGATACCTGGGAGTGTGAACTTTCCACCAATTTAATATGTTGAAATCAACATTTCGAGGAAATAGAGGCTCCTCCAAGTACTTATCCAAATCAGTCTTTGAGCCTTGACTTTGAGTAGTTTCATGCAGGTATTTATCAAATCCCGTAAGTCTATCCCTACCATCTTTTCCAGTAGCACCAGTCACTTGCCAAGCCAGACCTTGATCCAAAGAAGCTAATGGCGAGACAATCGAATGTTCATTGTAGAGAGCCTTGATGCACTCGGAAACATCCTCAATAAACGCTGAAGCATTACTACCAAATAACTGTGGATAGTAATATTCTATCAACTTCATTTTGAACCGAGGATCCAACATGGCAGCAACTGCTAAAGCCAGGTAGCATTTATCCCAATACTCATCAAACTTTTTTCTCATATTTGCAGCCAGAGAACTGAGATAATCATCCGGGTTTGTACACCATTCATTCAATTTTAGGTGAATGTCACAGATCTCAGGAAAATATATATTTGCAGTTGGATACTTACTCCTTGTGAAAACACCTGTAACCTCGACAAAGAGCTTCAAGTAGCTAGTTACGACACTTGCTCTTTCCCACTCCAAATCAGACAGGCACATTATGTAGCCAGAGTCATTTTCTTTCAGAAAGGAAAATGCTGCTCGGTACTCCAATGCAACATCAAGCATATTATATGTAGAGTTCCAATGAGTAGCATTATCAAGGCACAAGCATCTTTGACTCCCAACTCTAGCTTCAGCAACCATCTCATTGAACTTCACCTGTACTGCTTGTGAACTTTTGAAGTAGCGAATACTTTCCCGGATTTTGCTGGTTACCTCATTTAATGCTTCCAAGGCATCTAGAGCCATCAAGTTCAGTACATTCGCTGCGCAACGAACATCAAATAATTGCCCATTACAATAAAGAAATCTGTTTTGGGATAGTCGATCTCTAATTTTGTCAACGATGCCTTCGTTCACAGGAAGACAATGATCAAACGTCATAGAAAACAACTTACGGTCTATATCCCAATCCATCAGACATGACATGATAGCTTCTGAATGCATGTCCTCTGTATGTGAAGGATCAATTAAAAAAAAGCTTAAAACACTCTTTTTCAATTGCCAAGCTTCATCAATGTAATGTGCTGTCAAACACAAGTATTCAGCATCATCTGAAGCAGTCCAAACATCGACACCAAGGCTGATTTTTCCAGGTAATTTATCCAATACTTCAAACACCTTCTGCTTTTCTTTCGCATAGATTTCCATGCAGTAATCCTCAAGTCTATTAAATGTCACAAGCTCAAACAGTGGCTGGAGATTCTTAACAAAGACTCTAAATCCAACATGCTCAACCATAGACAATGGGTACCCGTGTAAAATTATCATTCGGGCCAGATCAAATCGACTCCGCCTTTGATCCAAACTAGTATTTCCAATGCCTATACTTTCATCTTTCACCTGCTCATGCTCATATCTCAGGTTCACCACACTCAGCACCTCATCTTTTTTTGGCTCTGGCTCAATATTTACAAGGGCAAGAGTTCCTTCCTTTTTCTTTTCCCTTGATGAAAAAAATGTAGTTACGCCATGATTAGTTCTTCTCCGACACCTGATCAAATGGTTCCTCAAATGTGATGTTCCACTGGTACTTGATCCACTAAGTTTCTTCTTACAATGCCTGCAGATTGCCACATATGTATCGCCCTTTTTTACTCTATCAAAATCATTCCACACAACAGATTTCAATCTGCTGGATTTTACTATAACTGCATCTGACATATCCATTCCTTGACCACAGATGTTTTACCATATGCTGATCAAAAACAAATATAATCCATCAAGAACAAAAACAACACCATAACCATCACACCGAAAAGATTCTAAAAATTACCGTAAAAGAAAATTACCACATAGAAGATGCCAAGAGTAGGAAGGTTTGATTTCTTGATATTGATCAATTGTGAAATAAAAAAGACCCTTCTTCTTATTAATTTTATCAATAATTTGATAATTATTAACTCCAGTCTTAATATTTTTATTACTATTAGTATCGATATCAACCAACGACTCAATATCGACCTTGTTTCTAACACAAAAGTTGAGAATTCTCCAATCTAAATATTTTCAATCCAGAATTTTCTTGCTATCAAAAATATGATCTTCTCCTAAATAATTAGAAACTAGATAATTATGAATAGGGATACCTACGAGGATATCAAAAAAAATTTGTTTATCCATGTTGTAATTAAAAAAAATCTTGTCTTTAGAATTAATAGATTTAAAAGATAAATAATCATATCTATAATTTTTTTTAAAAATTAGATTTTGATTCAGCAACGAGTTCACTTCAAAAGAGTTTTGTCTTTCGTGATGAATTAATTTGTCTTTTTTATATGAATTCTATTTGTTTAAATCTTTATTTTGAACTCCACAGTATTCTTTCACTCTAGCCATTTTTCTGAATCTAGGCTATCTAATCTAAGGTAAATCATATTGGTAATGACTTCTTAACCAATTTTTTCAATGATTTTTTTCGTAATTAAAAAGGGGTTTATATCTGAATTGATAATCAAATATTCTTTGTTCTTCAAAAGAATCCTTCATTTTATTCTTGAGAAAAAAAAGATGTTCCATTACATTAATATTGAAGGACAGACCTTAACCCATACAAGTTAATAAGTTTTACAATACCTGAACCCATTGAAAACAGTATTCCAATGAGATAAAAAGAGAATTTAATAAGGGTCTTTATTACTTTTTGTTCTCCCTTTTTTTCTCTGTATACGATTTCTGATCTGGAGTAGCACTGGACAAGGATAGATAGACGGCTATAGAAAATTGCCACTGCAGTACCAAAAGAAAGAATCTTAAAGTTTATCATCGACCATAGAAAAAGGGGAAAACTAACTTAATGAAAGATGGAGGATAAACTAGGTAAACTTGCTTACTTAAGGAATTGGGCAAAGCCTATATATATTAGCTACCAATTCTTAGTATTACCCTAAGAAGCAGGTTCTTAAGCATCAATGACACTTAAAGAGTTGATTGCATGACAACCAGGATATTTGAGAAATTTCCCACATTAGTTATTGGATAAGTGAGAGAGTGACTGACATCACATATGAGAAATTACCAAGGTCTTTACAGGCTCTAACTCAATCCTAATATAACCATGACCTGATTTCCTAATAAAAAACTTGAAAGAATTGAGACAGTACCAACTGGAAACTTCTGCAAAAGAATAAATAAAATCCTAGCCCTAATTAAATCAAAGCTACTCTCCTAATTATGCCTCAACTAACTGCACTATCAATAAGTACTAACATATCCTGATAAGGGAAAACCAATTTATCCGAACAGATCAAGACCCTAGTTAATAGAATATACAACTCGTGTGCCAAACAGCTAGGGCATTTGAATACCTATGCACAATACATAATATGAGAAAAATCCTGAACATCATCTTAAACTAATGACTGAAGCTTCAAAGAAAGAAAAGATGGTGAAATCAGCAGAAAGAGCCACAGACTAATACCATGTGACATACCTAAGCCATTGTCTTACCCAAGAATGTAGAACGGATCACTCAACAAAATATTCCTGAGCAGCAATCCCAAATAAATAATCAGTAATGAGTTTTTACTCCTTTGATCTCATTTGTTCATGTAGACATTTGACAATAAATCCAATTAAATACTGGGGCAAAGGACGACCACATCCAAGCAGAAGTTCAAGCAGGGAGAAGCACATGAGTATCTATAGCATACACCAAAAGAAATGTTTTGAACAACAGTGACAAAATACTAATTGCTTATAACCTGCTCCAAGAAGCATGCTGCTACCTTTCTGCGGTGTACCCCACCAAGTTCACAATGCTGCCATGATGTAATCTTCTATATACCATCTAGTGATAACCAAGAACCAAATGAATGAACATCAAAGTTCATTTCCAGCAAGAAAAAATTACAAACGTGTCTGCTTCCGGATTATTTTAAAGTGGAAAAATATATATATATATTACCAATATTTAGAACTCCAATAACTGAACATAATTTTTCTCCTTTTTTTGTTTTACTGGAAAATTTCCTAAAAGACACTACAAATTTCACTCAACCTAGTTCACCAGACTTTCCACTATATAATCCATTTCCATATTAAAGAAAAAAAGCGAGTTATTCCATTTCCATTTTTTATATTCTATTTTGATCCTTGTTCTTTAGGCTCAAGGTGCAGCACCCGCCATGATTTGGTCCCTAGCACTGGTGGAAAAGCGCTGGGCAAATAACCACTCAACTAAATGCTGGGGGTTTATATTCTCTTTAATTTTTGTTACTTCTAATTGAGATATTTAACCTCTTCCATCAATGTAGCAGCTGCAAGGACTCAAGAATATACCAAAACAGATTGAACTCAAACTAGCCATCATCAATTTGAGCCTAAAAACCGGTAGCAGAGTACAACTATCTTAAATTTCAAGCAAAACAGAAACAATATAATTTCCGAAAATCCCAAATTACAAAGCATAAACAGCTTGTGCCAACATTGATTACCAGTAAGCTGAGAAATGCTCAATTCATAAATTCAGTACTACAATGACAAAATTTCATAAATCATGCCCACCAAATTCCTGATAAGCCTACAAGTACGCCAACAAGAATCTCAAGACTGAACTGATAGCCAGCGAAAAAGGCCGGTTTCCACAATGGGATAAAAAAGAATAATGTAAACGGAAATACGCTGTGAAAATTGTAGTTATTTAATTTCTATAAATTTTCAATGAAGAATAAACAAAATTCCCGAATTCCAAAGAATTAAGCCCACCAATGAATCTCCACAATTAAGATTAGTTAATAAAACTCACAGTAAATCGGATAAACAAACCTACAAGAAAAAGGAGACTGCACCTGCTTAAGCTGCAAGTTTTTCTGGTTGTGGTTCGCGTATGGACGGGGGCGGGGGGGGGCCTTCTCTTCCCAACACGGGTGATCAAAAGGACTAAGCGCAATTGGGCTGTGGAAAGTGGTGGCACAGCAGTAGGGTTTGGTGAAATAACAAAGCGAGCGAATTTGAAACGGTGGAAGAAAATTTATGGGTGACAGATAATTAGAGACCACGTATGAGGACCGTCTTTCTACTAGAACGACATCGTTTCGACTCCGGCGTGCTTACCCGGGTTTATTATTTTCATTTTCTTAAAGATAATTATTCGGATATTTTAAAGACTTCTTCAAAATTGTTATTTTCTTTTAACAGAAAATAAGAAACAATTGATTTAAAAAATCGATAATTTATAATTTTGTTAATAAATTAGGTCTAAAAATACTAATAATGCATTTGGTTAACTAGATAAGAACAAAATAGTATAATGAAATAATAATTAATAATAATGGAATAAGGTTTAGATTGGCAATCCTGTAAAATGTTTTAATTAATTTTAATTTCCTTCATTGTATGTTGTCAAATTTGCATGTTGGCTAGTCTTTAAATTCTTGTAGATAAAAACAATTTATATCGATATTCATAGGTTAAATACATTATAAATCAATAATTATTAGTATTATGTAGTTGTATGTAGAGAAATAATCTTCATTTTATGTGAAATATAATTCTAATCCAATTATTTTATAAATAATTAAAAAATAGAAATATTAATTACCTATCCTATAAATTAACAAAAATAATAGATCGATAATGAATATTTATTTTTATATTACTTTAATATACAAAAGTGATAAAGTATTTTTTTATTTAATGCTTCATAACATTGTTATTATATTAATTTTATATTTGATTTACTTTAAACTAATTGACAATTTATATATTATATAAAAACAAATTTAATATGTAAAATAAATCACATTACCTCTCATGTATAAAGAAGGTACTTTATTTTAAATGGGATATAATTGATATTCAAATAATATATAAATAATAAAAATGACAGAATTTTTTACTTATTCATCCCCATAATGACATAAGTGATAAATAAATAAATAAAAGAAAGTGATAGGAGGGGATGAACATTTATTTCTTATATTATTTTTAGTATGTAAAAGTGATAAGGATTTTCTATTTAATGCTTTATAATATTGTTGTTAAATTAGTTTTACATTTAATTTGTTTTAAACTAATTGCTAATTTATAAAAATAAGTTAAATATATAAAGTAGGGTAATAGGAAATATGGTATAATAAATATTCTATCAATGAGATGTGAATGGAGAGAAAATTTTTGGACCAAACCCAAATACAGGAGAGGAGTGGGGGAACTTAATCAATACACATTCTATTATATCTGTAATAATTAAATTGTTTACATTATTATATGTATTTTATTTTTAATTTATTTTCGTTTGCTAAATGTAAGGCAAAATAAGATAAAATGATTATGGAGTCTATTAAGATCTTTTGCAACATGCAATAAGAATTGTAGATGTCAGAAACTTAAAAGAAAATAGAATCATAAATTGAATGCAGAATCGAAATAATAGATTCCTTATACAACAATAGTTAAGATTTATATTCCTTATACAATAGTTCAAAATACATAATAGGGTTACGAAAATGTATACTATAAAAGAACATACGAACATAAAAAAAATAAATAAAAAGTAAACAATTGAGCATTTTATGACGACCTTCACTAACTTTTGAAGGGAATTCGGGTAATGAACTATTCATAACCCTCTTGTTGATCGCGATCTGAATCTTGGTCATCTTGATATGAAATAATTAATGAAATAGCGAGTTACACTAACTCATTAAGAATATCACACTACTCACCGATACAGAAACTGAAGATTTGTAAAAATCATAAAAACAACCAATAGAGTGCTTAAATTAAGTAAATTCATTTATCATAAATAAAATTATTTATTGCATTCTTACTGTTGTGAGATTTCCAAAACCAACCTATATAAGAAATAACTCAATAACATCATAATCTCATTTTCAGTGGGTAAGAACAACAATTTTTCATT